GCCGCGGCGTTACGCGCGGCCGACGTGTCCGCGGAAAACCGCTTAAAAATCAGGGGAGTACAGGGGAGTTTCGATCCGCCCCAGCGGCTCGAACGTTTACCGATTACGGTTTTCCGTAACACTGACGAATGATTAGCAAAGTATCAAGTACCGAATTAGTACAAACTCATTCGACGGGAGACTACCATCATTTTGTAACAATCGTTTTCGCAGTGTTAGAATGGTATCGCTAACACGTAAGAGCCGTTATGGTGGGATGGGGGGAGTTTTAGAACCCATTCCGCCGGTATTGCTCTTACAAATATTTTTCGAGTGATTTTTTTTTTTTTAAAGGCTTTTGAAGCGCTTTCGCGGATATTATCGGTAATTACATTCGTACAATTCCGTATTGCGTTCTTCTTATTCGCCTCAGGTATTTACGACTATACCACGGGGCTTCGCCCGCCAACTTCCCTGCGTGCTTCGCGGTCCCGGACTATATCCTTCCGCTACCGGACTCCCACCGCTCCGAGTATCGCCCTCCGCTGCGTTCGACCACCATGCCCCCGTTCTCAACGTGCTTCCGATCACGCGATCGTCCGTCACCCACACCGCACGTCCGCACGCGAGAGTAAATCTCAAACAATTATACATCGTGCCGTACGCGTTTTCGGTTTAATTTTCTCTGTCGCGATTTCGGCGGTTCGAGAAATTTAATCCGTGCGCAAAGGATTCCGTGCACTCGTCCCGCGTTCGCTATTCTTACGCGCCTGTCTCGCGTGACAAACATCATCATTTTCACTGGCGTAATAGGTGCGCCCGACATTCCCCGAGGCCATTGAATCCACGGCGTCTTGCTCGCCGTCAAGAAGTTCCGACGGTTTGGTTTTACAACATACGAGCCCGTATGGATGGCAACAGAGAAGTCGGTCTTTGGGGGGGGAGGGGCGAGGGGAGGTGCGGCGGGCAGCGAAACCGCTTTTTCGACCGAGTCGGTTATCGCGGCTACCGTTTCTGTTATCAGCGACTAAGCACCGGTGGTCCGTGCAGTTCGCGTTACAATTTGATAACGACGTTATAACGGCGTGACGGACCGGTGAACCGCGAATTCAAAAAACGACAAGAGGGTATGTAAAAAACGGCGCGATAATTACGGCAAAACGAACGATAACGATATTGCGTGAAGTGTAAATAAAAAGACTCGCGACCCCCTGCGTCACGAGTTTTCCCGGCACTCCTCGAACGCGACGAAAATACGATCGAATCGAAAGAAAACCAGAGTGGATTTCGGGAACCTTGCCGCCACAATTCGAATCGCTACAGGCGATACTCAATCCAACACGTTCGGACGGTATTTCCCGACCGGACGGCGTCGGAGATCTTAACGCGCCGTGAAAAAAAAAACAACAACAAATTTTTCTCCGCTGATAATTTTTCCGTCGGCTCGTATATAGTTCGGTAATAGCTGGGTATGGATAAAAAACGGTTTCTTCGTCGCGTTCCCCCGCGATAACTGTACCCGGCGATCGTTCCCTTCCTCTCTCTTTTACCGTATTTTTGTTTCCCCCTCCGTCGCGTTGAAAACTAATTTTACCGCCCAGCATAGTGTGTCCAACAACAATTGTGTTCTTCTGGTTTCTATCGTTTCATCAATCGTTCGTATCGTCCGTCTCGTACCGTCGCCGTGTCATCTCCCGGTCCGTTTACTAATAATCGGCTAACACAACCCGAGACTCACTTCCGCGATAAACATCACCGGGACGAGAAAGGTGGGGGAGACGAAACTATTTGCGAAACATATCAGTTTTAATAATATTATTAACACTACCCTGTACAAATCGTGAATCTTTCAAATCGCCCGGAAAAAAATAAAAATTGTTTATACACGAGACATTTTCCTACCGACATAACATCGCGAAACCGACGGATTTGTCACGGTAACCGAAATGCATCATCGCCATAATATAACATGGCCTCGTAACTCTATTGCATAAGAATTTTAGCTGTCACCTTCCGATTTTCTCGACCGTGATTTCCAATTATTGCTCTGCGGTGTCTCGTCGCATTCAGCGACCAGCCAAACGTTTCTTCGCAGCCTCCCTCTGGACGTCCTCCCTACACGATCGCCATTTAATCGTTTGCCCCCGTGGCCTCGCGAGGCGCCGACCAAACGGAGATCGGAGGGGCGCCAGTGAACACTTTTACGGTTCGGCAATTAAATATTTGTTTCAATTGACGTAATGGACGTACGAGTGAACGCTAAACGGACGGGTTTCGCGCGCGTTACGATGATCCCGCAGCCAATTCGCCGGTCGGACGGACGCGACCTCGGAAGATTTTTTTTTTTGTTTTTTTTTTTCGAAAAACGTCCAACGACCTCTCGGTACGGTTCTGTCACGAGTGCGCAACGCGTTTTCCGTCCGACACGCACGCCCCCGTTGCACACCGTTATTCTATTATAACCGTATGCCTACTTGTATTGTGCTTACGAGACGTGCTTTTTTTTTTTTTCGATTTTCAGAAACAAGAAGGCTACCCCAACTCGGCGGCGCCCGAGTACGGAGCGCCGGCCAGCCCGTCGCCGTCCATCGCGTCGGACACGTACGGTTCCCCGTCACCGTCCACCGGATACGGCGCGCCCAGCGGCCCGGGCGGTCTGCAGTACTGACCCGCGCGTACGGAAAAACGGAAAGAGAAAAAAATACTAGAAGAAAAACAAATACAATAAAACAAAATCAACCGTTCGAAATATTAATCGCGGCGATCGCCGCCGCCCCACCCTCTTCACCACATATTATTGTGCCCATCGCACGCGCCGTCCGAGACGGAAATTTAATCGTATTTTTATCAATTATCACTGTTTACCTATATAACCCGCATGGTATTTAAACTGGGACGGAATAGAGGACATCGTTTTATATATAATCGCATGCACAAAAAAAAAAAAAACCTAATTTTTTATTTTCCGTTCGTTACGGATCGAGCGCATACAATATAATTGTTATTATAATGTTTTCTTTAAGTGTTGCCATAAGAATATTATAAAAAAAAAAAATGTTTTTAAAAACGCTAGTGATATTATCGCCGCGATACGCGCGATTAAAAAATCATTGCAACAATGTACATTTGAATAAATATTTTATTAGATTTTATTGTATCGCGTTTTCGCGAAAAAATATAACAGTTAACTGTCCCGAACGGGGTACACGAAAACGTGTGCATCGCTCGCCATTTCCCCCTCCCCCTCCCCCCCCGCCACGGCCTTTGAGTGACGCGTTTCTTTTTAGCCGCCCGTTTCCCCGGGGATTCCCGGACGCCGGGGCGTAACGCCCGAGCTCCTGCTCGACAAGACTTGGAACCGTCCAAATGACCGCCGCGACACAACGTTACACGCCCGTGTCCGACACCGCGTCTCCGGGCGCAACACGCGGCGCGCTCTACACGCGAATCCCCGCGCACTTCCCGTGTTCCAGAACGATAACTAATGTTGTCCAATCGCGTGGTATTTCCCCCCCCCCATCTAAATATTATACCGGCCGTTTACCCCGGATTTCGACCACTCTCCCGTCAATGTCATCGTGCCTACAGCTATACCGACTTACGAGTTTCGAGAGAAAAAAAACAAAATGTCCATACAAAACAACAACAACGCGGTTATAACAGCGAAATTTCTTGAGTTTTATTTTTTTCTTTCCCCTCCCCCCCCCCGTCCCGACGCACCGTAAAATAAAAATTATATCACATTATATTATTATTATGTATATCAAACTGTTTTATATATATATATATATTATTTTTTATGTTTTTTTTTTTTTTGTGTACATATAGTATTGTTATTATTACTTATATATTATATTTTATTATATTTACCGTGTATATTTATTGTGTTTTTCTTTTCTTTTTCTTTTTTTTCACTTTTATTATCATTTTCATTATTGTACGCGCGCGTTCGAACAACACTACGATTGGTGTTGCGACAAATAGTGTACCAAAAGTACATTCCAAAGGAGCGAATACCGAAAATTCGATCACCCGTTAGGTGTCCGGAGTTAAACCGGCGGGACGTGGCGCCGCGGTTAAAACAGGTCGCGATTCCGACGCGTCTACGACTATCGCTCGGACATCCGCATGTATTGCGGACGAGAATTGCCCCTATAAAGTTATCGCCACTTTTCCACGACGCCGCTAAGAAATACTCGAGAAATAAAACAATTAGCACTGGTGTAAGCACTACCGTATTGTTTTTTTATTGCCATTAGCCTATGCCGGCGGTCAAAATGAAAATCGTTGCGAAAAAATGCCCGACTATTGTGGGCGAACAGTTGAAAATAAAAGGCGTCTTGGGGCAATGGGGACGGGCGCAACAGCTGTTGTAGATAATTTAACGTACACCCGGTCGGCAAACGACGTAAACCGGCGTTTCCCAACCGTTTTCCCCTCACGGCACACCCAATCCCAACCAATATTCAACTGTGGCACACTCGACACCGACTTACATATACGTATATATTTTTGTATTTTTTTTTTTTTTTCACATTAGGACTTTACCGTATTTACACCCAAAAAATAGTTGTAAATCAGTAAATTACTAGTAAACAATTGAAAACGATGCGTTTATTTAGGTTACGAAAATTCACGTAAAATCGTGTTTCGATTTATTACAAATGTTAAATTTAACGATTCGGAAAAACATTTGTGTTAAGATTAGTCTATACGAATTTAAGTCCTAATGAGAAATGCGCGCCTGGTTTCCCTACGTTATAAGTTCTATTCGTGATCGAACGGTTGACAAGCTTACCTTCATGTCGTCTTCCAAGTTCTTCAGATGCGATCGATTTTCGGTTTTAACGGCATTCACAGAACTAGCACCGAGTAGTTCTTCGACACCAACACTCCGAGCACTCTTGTATTCGGTAAAGACAATTCCACATTTAATTTAGGTTTCTTAATTTAAAAAAAAAAACGATCCATTATACGTGCGCAACACGTGGAATATCAGTGGCGTATAAAATAAATTTCGGTTTAAACAAACACGTCGATAAGAACAATTCGCTTCGCGGCGGACGACTAACGACGAGTAACCGGCTTTGAGCGAATACAACAGTTTAATGAGAAATCACGAACGAAAATAATTTTTATTACACTATTTATCCAGAATTCCAGAGGATAACAATCGGGTAATCGCCGATAAGAGAATCGTTAAACGTGAATTTCATGCAAACGTTTATTAATAATCACGAAATCTCGGGGCACGCCGCTTGGGAAACGCTGATTAAACCATTGCTTACGAAAAAACGATTCAGTGCNTAAGCTAAAAGGATATGACAGCGTAATAACGTAGTTCGAACCCCGAAAACCGAGACCAAATTAGTGGAACGATTAGGAATTGTGATTGTTTGCCGGGAACACGGTAGATAACGGTTACATGTTCCTTCTATACACAAATAAACGTAGAGAGATCGTTGTTATTTCGAGTTTTTTATAATGCGCCTGCTGAAAAAGTGCGCTATCCACACATTTGGAAACCGGTAAATGGTCAGGACTAACAGCGCAAACACCGGTAAGTACGCATAACGCAAGCTAACAACAGTACCTAAACACATGTACATTTTTCAATTAATTAGATATACGTCTTAACAATAAAATATGGCACAAGTCATTTTTAATTAACGTAAAAAAATGAAAAATGATGGTATTAATGGTGTATTGTATTTTTTATGGAATACGAATTATTCAAAATAACATTGGAAGTAAAATCTATCAACTGGGAAAAAATAACTCGTTGTATAGTCTAAACAAAAGACAAATTAACAATCATAGTTTTAACAGTCAAGTACTTAATTTTCATTATTTCAATTTGTATTCTAAAAGAATACCAGATAAATATTAGGTAACACAAAATTTGATTTGTATATATTGCAACAATTTTTCTCATAAGTTTCAGCAATTTTAACTTTCATAATTTACAACCGGAGGTCAAAACTATAGATTAAGTCAATCTCTTTATTTTAAGGAACTAAAAAGTGTATAAAATGCCAAAATTTATTTCATCATTATCCAATATTTGACGTCATAACAAATAAACCGTTGATCTGAGAGCGGAAAAAAGTTAAATATGGCACTCAATCTTTGTTATTCTGTTGGTATTGTTGTTATAATATTAGTATTTTGTTTTCCCTTCTTGGTCAATTCTAATTGTGTCCCTTGACATTGTTAATTAATTTAATTTAAGCAGACATTAATTTCTTTAAAGAAGTTAAAGGTTTTTGCGACCTTTAACTAAATTTAAACTGCCTATCTCATTGTTTCTATTATATTTAAATTTTTTTTTTTTTAATATAAGAACTACGAACCCATGTATTAATAGTATTGCAATAAATTATTATTGATTAATAATGGTTCAGAATTCACATTAATTACACTAAATAATATTTTTTGGAAACAATATATTGATGACAATTTGGTTGCGAGCTTATGACTCAAAATGCAATTTGATTACTGATACAAATCGCAATAATTATTTGTCTCAAAATTTACTTAGATTTATTAAAAACATGTTTATAATTAATAATAGTACAATACAGTAAAAACTAAATGCATGTTGATTTTCATTATCATACATACCGTTAAAATAATCATATTATTAGTTTATTTTTAGTATTATTATAAATCATTTTTTGTTTTCTAATATAAAAAACATTTTACTATTAATTAAGTAATAGAAAACTTGTATATAAAGTATAATACTTCATGCTACACTGAAAAAAATTTATGGTTTCTTAGTTTCAAATAAATAAGTAAATAATTTATAAATTGACAAAAGTGTTAAATATAATATTGGAATATAAATGTAAAATATAATAAAATCTTATTACTCGAATAATATGATCAAAATAATAAACAATTCTTCACATTCACTACATCCAAACTTATAACTCTTACATCACATCCCTCTTAATGGTGTCATTGATTCTCCTGACTTCCTGCCGCTTTAGGCATTACAAAAAAAAAAAATAATAAAAAAAAATAGCTAATACAACTGTATTATACAGTCTATTTATTTAAATTTTCATATAAAGCAAAATTCAACACGCCAGGACTTTGTTCAGTTGATACGAGATCAACTACAAATCTGAAAATATTAATTTATTATTAATCAAAGACAATATAAGATAACTAAAATAACATATTACTGAAATGTTATTGTTTCTGACACTCTGTGTTCAAAAGATATACTTTCTATATTATTATTAATTCTATCTAGTGGTGTGATAAAAATTCAGAAACTGATTTAGATTTTCATAAAATTTTGTATTGATCAAACTATATTTAATAAATAAAAAAAACTAAATGTAACATGAAGGTGCTTTTGGTTTTGAAATGATACAAATTACTGTTATCAATAGTTAAAAACCAAAAAAAAATCTCGAATGTGGCCTAACATTTAAATTTATTAGATATATTACTCTGGAATTGCAAAATTATAAACAAAACTAGTCAAGGGTAAGTTGGACTTCCTACTATGGATAACTTTAATAATACATATATGGTATTTTTTTTAAATTATAATCAGAAATTAAAATACTAAGATACGCAGATAAAAACTGATCGTTTTTTATAGTTCAATCAGAAACCTTGAAGCCACCTGTCATATGATTTATTGTTACACCATGATCAGATTTATGAAGGATTTCCTTCAGATATTAATTTTACTATTATTTGTTTCAATAATACAGTTGTATAGGCATTAAAAATATGTATTAATTTAGTAGTCATTAATTTTAAATGTCATAAAATTACACAAATTATTAAGTAACAAACTCCATATCAATTTATAACTATTGCGACTTCATTAAGTATGCATAAATTATTATTAAATATTCACTTGAGTAATTTTCCACTGATTCCACTTGAACTGGAACTAATTTCTTCTGGATGAGACATCAAATAATCAATAAGCCATTTTACCCTATTTCTGACTTGCTAAAATAAAAAAATTTAACTCATTAGGTATTTATAATTATAGAAAATCTTTGAAAAATTAAAATGGTCAGAATTAGCAATATATCAAGCTACATAAAAACTGCTAAGAAAAATATTAAGTAGGCAAAGTTTGTACTTACAAAGTTATAATTTAAATAAGATTAATTAATCTAATGATAGTCTATATAACCTGATGGATAATCACTGTCAATTCAAAATAAAAATAAAATCAGAATAATATTAACTATATTCTAGATACAAGGTGTGACAATTAAATAACAAAGAATTTCATTCTAGTGCTTCAAGTGGTGAAATTGACACTTTTGTGATAGGCTTATAGAAATTTTCAAAAAGTTACTTAAGTTGTATAAAGTTTGATCGTGATCTGATTTATATTGTATGCTGCGCACATTTTTTAAGTAGTTAGCATGGTTTTTGACACATTGACACAATTTGTGAAATTAAAATAAAGCAACAATTAATTATTATCAAGTTTTTTGTGATATCCATCAAAAAAAAAACCAGTTGATATTTATCGGAAATTGAAATGCATATTCAGTAATGAGTATCTGATATCATGCGTGTATGAATGGGTGGCATGTTTTAAAAATAGTTGTAAATTTGTGGAAGACCACGCAAGAACAAGTACTCTGAATACCACACACACTAAGCAATACATTAAATGCTTGAGCTTGTTAATGCATTTAGATTGTGACAGTTGTTTTCTGTGAAGAAATGACTGTGAAGTATTGAAACGATTGTGTGCACAAGTCGCACATGTGAGATCTGAATTGGCAGAAAATGGTTGGACTCTTCATGATGACAATACGCCTACTAACACAGCAATTTCAGTGAAACAATTGTTAATAAAAGAAACATCACAACACACCCTTGTTCAGCCATGATGTGGTTACATTGGACTTTTGGTTATTTCTAAAAGAACTGATGAAGGGACGCAGTTTTGAGGATTTCAAGACACCATGCGTGGTGATGGTGGTATTGAAGGGCCTCACTCCAAAAATCTTCGAGGAATGCTTTCAGAAATGGGAAGAGCGCTAAAATAAGTGCATCGGGCACAAAAGGTAGTACTTTGAGGGTGTGCACAAATTATATATAAATATAAAATCTCAAATATTCGTAAATTTATTGTCACACCTCATACATTCCAATTTTTAAAAAATTGTATATGATAATATTTTGCCATGAATCATAAATAAATAAAAATTTAGTTATCTTATTCAAAAACGATATGGCCCACATGCATACAATACAACAATGCGACTTCATTAAAATATAATTTTTGAGCCATAACTCTAACCTCAATTAGAAATATTTTTAAATCTGAATACTTATTTTCATATATACTTCATCTAATTGGTTTAATAAGACCAAAATATATTATTTTAGACTTTTAATTACTAGCCTTTAAATTTACTTCATGTTTTAAATTATGAGCGGAATGAGAAATATATGGATTTTACAATGTTTATTTTTTTTTTGTGAACACTTCTCTGTCTACTAGAAACCTTACTTAGATTATCAAGTATAGAAACTTTTCTCAAAGGAAATGTTCTCTGGGTGGTACTTTATATAAGTCATTTTTTGAAATTATCATTAATATTCGAGATAGTGAGGAAAACCTGGTTCTTTAGGTTAAAAAAGATTAAAAGATTAAAAATAAGGTTGCCATTGGCCACTGCTTTTTATATTCTTTTGATATTATTAAGCTTTTATTATTTTAATAATCTTTAATAATCTTTTTTAAACAATCATTGTTGTCATAGAAATATTGTTGAAAAAGCAATACTTTTAAACGGTTTTTTATAATCATTATTAAAAGTATATTTATTATAAAATTTTAAATATGTATATTTATATTAATGTAAATACCTTGATTAGTTTTGCTGTTCTGGCTTTACAAGTAAAGTTAATATGAGGATTCAGAGTGAATGTAACATTATTTGATTTTTCACCAGAAATTTCAAGGGTTTTGGCAAATAGCACCACTGGAAATGGATTAACCATGGTAGTATCATGCAAAAATATTGAACTGGTTTTCAGTTTGGTGTGGTACAATATCAATGGACTTTCAAAATAACTATCTTTAGTATTCACGGATTTCGGATGAATCTCAACTTTTCCATCTTCAGCAGTGACAAATTTTGCAAATTTACGACCATTTGCTTTTACTTCGGAACTTAAAAAAAAAATTTTATCATTAAAATTCATCAATTAAAATAAAAACATCATAAATATATAAATTACTTGCAAACAGCAATATTTGGACATAAGCCAGCAGCAAGCACACATTTCAATAGTTTAACATTGTTTGAATTTTGATTATATTCATAATCTAAATAATTTGAAGTTTTAATAAATCCTAGATCGCATAAATACTTGGCAAATTGAGATTTCAAATCAGATAACATATTCATATTATTATACATGAGGAAATTTTCACGGCAATATTCCCATGCTCTATTTTCTTGTTTGGCCTTTAAAAATTGTCCCATAGCTCTGGTAACCAAGAGATGATCACTTAAGTGATTTTCGTCCATTTCTTTTTTAAGTTCACGACATTGTTGTTCTTTGTTGGCCGCCTATATTTAAAAAAAAATTTCTGTAAAAATTAAAATTGTATACAAATAATTAACAACTCACTGGCATCATAAATGGATCTTTGAAATTTAAGCTAGCAGCGATCGTCATTATAGGACTCAAACAACTAAACATTGCACCTAAAATAATCATTTTACCTTCAAGAGGCCCAATTGGTAATTTTGCTAAATGGAATCCCAGTGGTGTGAGATTCTCTTTTTCATCAAGAGCATTTAAGTCTATTAATAGCTAAACAATAAATTGGTTATAACTAGTAAATTAAATGATTTAAAGTATATTAGAGCTTACTTTCAAAGCCACTTTGAGAGCTCTGGTGTCTGGTGGATTCATGACTTTTTTTAAGAATGGAGTTACCATACCAAGTTGCAATATTTTAGCTTGAAGTATCACTTCTTCTAAACTTGTACGCATCATCTCTGGTAATACATAATCATCAAATGACTTTTCACGACCTTTGGTATACAAATGATAACAAATTCCAGGCCTAACACGACCTGCTCTACCACAACGTTGTTTTGAATTAGCCAAGCTCACCCACTCTTCTTTGAGAGTACCAATGTTATTTTCAGCATCAAATCCTTTTAACTTCATACGACCATTATCAATGACATAAACTACATCATCAATGGTAACTGAAGTCTCTGCTATGTTTGTGGATAATATGATCTTGCGGACACCTGTAAGAGTGATATTATACAATAATATAATTACATAAATGAAATAATTTAAGCTTACCGGCTGGTGGAGTTTCAAAAACAATTTTTTGAGATACAGTCGGTAACAAGGAATGCAAAGGAATTAGTAAATATCGGGCTGCAAAAAAACAATAACATATAGTTAAATATTAATTATAAACATTAAGTAAATGATGATAGTTTATATCCAATATTATACTTTACATGTGTTTCCAAACCCTTTGTTTTTTAAAATACTAGTCAATTTTGATATTTGATCCCACCCTGATAGAAAAACAAGGATTGCACCATCATCTTTATTATTGCAAATATAATTAATAAGTTCTAAAATAAGTTCATAGTCAATTTCCTCAGACATTGGAGTTTCTAACCAATTTAGGATAGCTGCAGGATATTTCTTGAGTCTTCTCATTTCACTAAGCAACATTATTTACAATTACATTTATAACTATACCATTAGTTTCATAATAGATTATTAAAATTCAATGACCAGTGACGTTGCGAGGCACAGGGTCAGTAGGACCTTAAAGTAAGTATAAATCCTAATACTAGCAGTACACTCACACCTAAGACATTCCCATAGTAGTCAAACTCAAAAGTCAACATGATGCACTTGATTCAACTTGTATTAGATTGTTAATGCTTTGTTGTCAAAGGCATAAACGATGCACTCAATACTATGTAATACGCTCAAAGCAAGCCATGCACTTTCTCTACTTCCCTAAATGCTTAACAAAGCGTACCACCAGCATTATTTTTATTATAATTAGGAGGCAAAAATAAATAAAAATAAAAACAAGAAAAATGACAAATCTTCCAGTCAGTATGTCCATGTATAGAAAATTATATATATAAAATAATTAGAAAACTTTTTAATATGAATAGTACATGTATAGTGAAATGTAAATTAAGTGTAAACTAAGTGTCCTTTCAATTTCAGAATCTGCTGTATAATTTAATTGTTGAAAGACCTGCAATTATATACAGACCGCTCAATTTTTCGTTACGTCACTGCCAATGGTGATACTTAGATAAATCTATTAGGCATACTTACTTAACATATGGAAGAACATGTTCACCAAATGGATCACCAATCTTTATTTTGCGTGGTTTTTGTACTGCTTTTTTAGGAAAATACCTAAACCTGTATAAAATAATTTAAATTTTAGAAATGAATAGTCATTGGTTGACATTATATTAACAAACCTATTTAAAGTATAAATATCTTCAAGGTAAAGCTCTTCGACTGGATATGTAAAACCAGGTATATTCAAAGATGGACAATCATTGTAATACTTGGAAAATGCTGAAGCATTTAATGTTGCACTCATTAATATTACTTTAATATCAGGTCTCTGTAATAACAGTAAATAGACAGTAAATTATTTAAATTTCACAATACAAATTTATTTTCATATAGGAAATTATTTATTTACAACAGGTATGATGTTCTTGAGAATGGTTAATATAAAATCACTAATAGTATCACGCTCATGTATTTCATCAACAATAATATGTGAGTAATGATTTAGAGCTGAATCTCTTTGGATGTGTTGAAGTAAAATACCTGTAGTACAAAACAATATAGATCCATATTCACGTCCCAGTTTTCTAAAAAAAAAAAAAAACAATAATAGAATTTATGCTTTTATAATTATATTTTAGATTCCGAATGGAGTATTAGTTTTACAATAATGGTAATTTTTTTTTTTTCTGTGAACACTTTTTCTACAAGAAATTAAGCTCAAATACTCAAGTGTAGCACTTTTTCTGAAAAGAAATTTGATTGGGTTAGTATTAGGGAAATAGGAATTAGGAAGTGATATTTTTGATTTTCCCAAATGTTTGTATAATAAATTTGAAAAACGGGAAAATGTATGAAATGTATTATTTTCAAATCTTAATTATTAACAAGATAAGCCTAACAAAACATGTACAATGGAACTTTGCTCAAAATCGTTTTTCGTAATCAAAGATTAATCGTTGCGAACAGATATATATGAAATTCTCTTCTATACCCTACCTTTCCAACTTCTCACCTACAACAGCAACCATCGTGAGAAATATGTCAATTTTTTTTTGTATCTTACTTTTCTAGCCTTATTTGATATCCGACACTTTCATCTCCAATACGCTCAGCCCTTTCATTTGCAACACGTTCAGCTACTGATATAGCACTAATTCTCCTTGGTTGAGTACAAACTATTCTGCATGTTGAACCACGGCCAGACATAATTGCATCATCAAGAATGAACTGGGCCATTTGTGTAGTTTTACCACAACCTATGAACAGTTTATGAACATAAAAATTACATTTGAATATATATAAAATAGTATAAAGTATTTATTACACTTTAGGTACATACCCGTTTCACCACTGATCAAAATAACTTGATTTTTACGGATAAGTTCTAAAATTTCATCTTTTTTCTTATATGAAGGTAATTTTCTTCTAACCGCACACATAGATCTATATTTTGGATTTTCTTTCTTATCTTCAAGGTCTTTTTTTAACCTATCATTTTTTACCTCGTCGTTTTGGAGTTTCTTGACAATGTTAACATGAATATTTATTTAATTTTTCAAATTGTTGTTAATTTTAAGATTTAAAAAAACTTACCATATTACTTTGAATAGAAGCAACAAGATTTTCTTCCATTGTACCAGTTATGTTATTCAAAAATATCTTTTTGAAATTAGAATCCTCCAATTTTTTGTATCTATCGTTAATATATTCAGTATTTTCGTGTTCAATGATGTCTTTTCTAGTCAAATGATTGAGAGTCCTATACCTTGATTAATTTATAAGTTATATTATGTTTAATAATAATTTAACATAAAATACAAAAAGGCTAAATAATTTACTTAGGTTTAGCAAAATCTTTTTTCTCCAACTTTAATAAACCACAAGCTATGTTTTCATCAGGAATTGGCATTTTGTTTTCAATTTTTTGAAACTTCTCTTCTGCGTAATCAATATCCTCAATTCTTAACTTAATAGACTTCAGAAAAAAGAAATACAAAATATAAAACCTAAATTATTTCTAGCATAGTAAGGAACTATTAATCTGAAATTTTTAATAAAATTTAAAATACTTCCACAAATTAAAACTAAATATTATTTTAAAAATACCATATTTTTCAAATATAGGTAATATTTTAACTATTAAAAAAAAAATTTAAAACAAATAATTTACTACACTTTTTTATGTTAGGCCTAATAAAATAAGTACTTTACATTCACCCTTTATATCTCAATTTGTTTAAGACAAACTTACACATTTAACACCTTCTTTTTGAGTTTCTTTTTTTTTAATTTTTTGACATAATCGATTTCGTTCTTTATACCAAAGATTGAGTTCATCGCCTTGTAAACCTCGAGGAGGTTTAATTTTTGGTCTGCCAATATTAAGCAATTCTTCATCTTCTCTATTACTAGCTTGCTTGCGAGCATACCACAACCCTAAAGTTAAATTAATAAGATATAANTTTAAAATAAGATGTGTTAATTAGAATCAAAATTAATTACCAATCTCTCGTCCTTTCAAATGTGAAGGATGCGATTGTTTTACTTTTTGCCGTTCATTTGGTTGATCTAAAAAGAAATCCTCATCATCTCTAATATGTTTTGATATTTTAGATATTTTATTTTTTTCTGAAATAACATATTATATTATTTTTAAGCATATAGTATAATTTTGTAAGAAAATAATAAAAATAATTTAATACTCATTTTGAAAAACAATAATTGCATTACAATTATTATTACATAGTATTCTATAGTTAAAAACTGACCTAAAATCTGTACAGGTTTTTATCAAACATATTAAATGGACACTATAATTTCATCTGTCATTTCTGTCTTTTCACTGGGCAATGTAGCAATTATGAATGTACAATGTTCCACAGTTCTTTGTATCTTATAGACTTAAAACAAAAATAATTGAATTTATGATGACATTTATTTTTTTCATAGATTTTTCTATATCCAATTTCTAGACAATCTATTTGTAGGTAGTTGAAAATGTTAACATTTTAATATATATATATTTTTTTTAATCTCAATATAATATATAAAAATGAAAACATTAAAAAAAAAAAATTCCCTATGGAAGCATAGAAAATGTCTATAACTTGACAGAAATGTTTTTATTTTTTTTTTTTTTGAAATTTGTTAAAAGCAAAGTAGGTAAGTACCATTGGAACTCAGAAAACAAATTTCCACTATAATGTCCATTAGAAAGACTGAGGCACAACTACAACCGTGGCGTCTTCTTAAGGAAAACAGAATATTTAACAATTAAATCGACCATAACTTTACCTTTGGGTCCAGTTTGCTTTCCTACTCTTAAAGGTTTCACGGGTGGCATGCTGGTACTTATAAAATGATGTCAGTCAATCAAATATCGAATGAATAATTCAAAAATCAAGCAATTTTTATTCAATTCTCATAAAGTGTAAAAACTGAATTATTTTAAAATTCTACAAACTGCGATTAGTTTTTGATTATTCACAATATTAATAAACGTTATTTCATATAGACCATAGATAGTTTTCACCAAAGAACTAAATAATTAATCTAACCGTTTACTTTTGCAAACGAATCCAAAATAATAAATCTAACAATGCTTATACTATGTTATCAGTTATTATCATTTATCATTAGACGATTATTATCAATTCGATTCTACTATCATGGACTAAGATAATATTTATGAAAACGGTCGACAATGAATTCGCCTAAACAGTAATCTTTCGACTATCAACCACGGTCAACGATATATATCGTGCTATCAACTTACTGTTGGTTTGGGAATATATTATTATCCGTAATAAAAACAAATTGCACGCGTACAAAAATAGATTTGTANAACGGTCGACAATGAATTCGCCTAAACAGTAATCTTTCGACTATCAACCACGGTCAAAGATATATATCGTGCTATCAACTTACTGTTGGTTTGGGAATTATTATTATCCGTAATAAAAACAAATTGCACGCGTACAAAAATAGATTTGTATATTTTTTTCGTGAAGTCTACAATTTAAATTATTGTGTACCTGACGGTAGTAACCAGATTAACCACACGGTCAAGTTGAGTATTTTCAACTTTCTGGTAACTGTGGTAACGTGTAGGTCAACTCGATCTGAAATCCAATACCGAATTTCGATAGGTTAACCATAAAAGAGTATATGAATGGGTTAGGTCACACCTGTCATTTACTTCTTCTTCTACTTCTTGGCCTATTAACACAGACCATTGAGGTCTATTGCCGTTTCTACTATTACTTTTCACGGATTTCAATTAGTCGTCAGGTTGTTATAATTGGGAATTGGGATTGTTCATACTTGTCGGGTCTCTCGGGACAGTGCTGAACCATCTCTAGTGCAGTCTTTTTCCACTCGGTATTCCGATCGTCACTTTGTTTATGAGTCGTTAGGTTAGGTTCATCTATGCGCCACACGTGTCATTCCAATATTTTGCTTCTAAAGGAAATGGCGAATATTTNACTATTACTTTTCACGGATTTCAATTAGTCGTCAGGTTGTTATAATTGGGAACTGGGATTGTTCATACTTGTCGGATCTCTCGGGACAGTGCCGAACCATCTCTAGTGCAGTCTTTTTCCACTCGGTATTCCGATCGTTACTTTGTTTATGAGTCGTTAGGTTAGGTTCATCTATGCGCCACACGTGTCATTCCAATATTTTGCTTCTAAAGGAAATGGCGAATATTTAGTTTATTACATAGTTTATGTAAATTTTTCTTCTTTCGAAAATTCCCGAATCTATAATATGCGCCGGTCCGTATATTATTTTATCGTTTATCGTGTCACACACGCGACGTTTCGAAAAATTGACCAATTGACACGTGTCGTCCGGACGGTTATGGGACTGTGGATGTAAACTGAAATGAATATATTTAGGCGCCTACGTGTTAAATAAAACATATTAATCGATTATAGTTTATAAATAGTTGCGATGTTGTGTTGTAATCAGATACAACGCAATTAGCCGTAACTAATAGTACTACCTACTCATAACGAGTAGTCGGTGTAAAATTGTGGAAATGAAAAGCAATAAATGACAAAAAATGGAAAAATCAATAATCGCAGGAAAATGTTTACACACTCAATGACTCAACATTTGTACAGGAGTAAAAATGGAACATTTTTAATAATAGATAGAAATGGCATATTCATTACCGAGAGATAAATGTATTTGTATTCTGCATTTCCCATATTATGTTCAATGGAATATTACCAAAATGTTATTAAAATAGGTAAATGGTTATGCAAGTACCCCCGCATAGTTTTCATTATAACGATAAAGGTTGAATATACCGAGTATAACTCTATACAGTATGATACCCAGAGATTTATTTGATAAGATGTAAGTATGAGAAATTTCTAAAATGTTCAACTTTTCGGAGAGAAGTTTTCGAAAAGGCAAGTTATAATAAAAACGGTATACGTTTTTGTAATGAAAACTCGCGATGCAAAGACGGCGAGATCGTTCGTTGCCATCGGCGAGCGACCCGCCCGGACTCCGACGGACCGGGGGGAAAAAAAAAAATGGGGGGCGATGAATACTTTTGGGGATTTCGAGAAAAGAAACGCGCATCGAACAAAGTCTCGTCGATCCCCCCTCCCCCTACCAACCACCCTCGGCAAAAAGACAATTCGCCGCCGCCGCGGTCTTGTCGCGTACGAGAACGGACGAGAAATCACCGGGATTACCGCCATGCGTGCGATTGTGCGCTGTGATTTTTTTCCGCACGCGCCCGCGATATGGGCGCACTCGACCGCCGCTGCNCATTACCGAGAGATAAATGTATTTGTATTCTGCATTTCCCATATTATGTTCAATGGAATATTACCAAAATGTTATTAAAATAGGTAAATGGTTATGCAAGTACCCCCGCATAGTTTTCATTATAACGATAAAGGTTGAATATACCGAGTATAACTCTATACAGTATGATACCCAGAGATTTATTTGATAAGAAATTAGTACGAGAAATTTCTAAAATTTTCAACTTTTCGGAGAGAAAAAAAAAGAAGTTCCCACCAGCTACGCCACTGATTAAAACCTATTCGTGATACTAATGTTGGCGGTTAGGTCAATAGTCTGCCCGGAACCGGGTGTCTATATTATTATTGCAGGTGTGCGGACTACGGAGTTTGGCTGTTGTTTGTCGCATTCGAAGGTGCGTCTGAATTCAACAGGAAAAAAAAATAAATACGTTCAAGGCCTAAACTTTATTTGCCTATGACTGTATAAGAAACAGTATCCCGCGAGACGCATCGCCGTAATCTCAAGATATTTAACGCGCACCCGGGTGGGATGCATTACCACAAATCGTATAATCATTAAACCTTGCGATCGTATAATAAGTGCTGTATCTAGTGAGATTCATTAGGTACCAAGTGGCTGGTCCGGTGATTCTGAGCGGAGAAAGGCCGTAATATTTACGATTTACAAACAGTACATTTTGTCGATTTTCCCGTTTTTCTTACGGGTTTTACCATTTACTATGAAAAGCCCCCGGGAAATCGAAAAACGGCCACCTCACAGTACCACCCCCAGTCGGATATCTTTTCAGAAAAACCGTTACACTTGAAAATCTGAGCGAAATTGCTGGTAGAAAAGTTGTTAGTGTAGGAAAAAAACAAACAAACATCATTCTAAAACTCGTATATTATATTGTATGATATTTCCTTAGGAAAGCAGAAAAACAAATGCGCACCACTATATTTTGTTGCGTTACAAATAAAACACACGACTCAAAACAGAAATTCAAAACAAAAACGCACGGTTCAAAATAAATAAAATTTAATTTATATGAACTTCCATTACCGCGTTGTCGCATAATTTAATACGGACGCGTAGTTTGAAAATTAACTTTAAGCGCAGATGACCGGCGTTTGTCCCGATTCGCAATATCCACGTCGGCCTTTTATTGTAAACGATGCTGGGCAAACGACGCGATCTTTTAGAACTTCATGTGGGGAGGCCTTAGAGTGTGACTGGTGTGCGAATTTATTTTGCTTCTGTTTTTCGTTGGCTATTGACGTGGAACGCATTGCACTGCGTTATTATTCATATTTTGTATTGCACAATTATTTTTGAAACGGAATCGCGGCACACACGCATAATGTGCACGTACACACGCGCACCGGTTATACTATAATCCGTATAATATAATAATATACAGAGTGTCCCACGGTCTTATCCGGATGCTAATGACTCTGTCGATGTTCATTTTATTTATTATTTTTTTTTTTTTTCTTCAATCCGGTTTCGTATGTGGGAAACACGAATGTACAGGAAAATTAAATTCTTATTTCCATCGCTTGATCGGAAAAAAAAAAATAATAATAACTTTTGATTTCGTCACTTTCTGCAACTGTCGAAATGTAGCCATTTTGTAAAACATAAACGTATCGCATATGCATGCATCGTGCCCGGTTAAAATAGTTTCTCGGCGGCCATTATAGCGGCTTTGGCGCGTATAAAAACATGCGCGTGCAAACGAATCGATAATCAATAGAGGACATGGGATTGTCGTGGCGGTCTGTGGCCGCGGTGAACATTTGGACCCGGGACATTATCATTCGGATGACATACCGCGGCCCGCGAAATAAGCGTAAATTACGAGTTAGAGCAAAAAAAAAAAAACCGCGCAGAGATGTATAATAATGTTATCGGTATTGTTCCGGTTCCGATTACGCGCGTATAACATTGTCGTGCCGTTTGCACAGCACAAGGCGGGGAGGCTCGAACACAGCCAACGAGGGCGCGCACAGTTTACCGTCTACAACCGACGTCCCCCCCCCCGCCGTCGGTAACGTAAACACCTACGACACTAAAACGCAGTCGGGGCTGATGGGCCTCGAACGGGCGTTTTTTTTTTTTCCCCCGCGCCGTCGCCGACCACGATTGAATTTTACGAAAAACTCGAACCACGAGACACAGCGTACGTAAAATCACGAAGTCATTTCCCAGTTTCCGCGGTCTCGGATGATTTCTGTACAAAACAATTTCGCGGGACATAATGGCGCGATAAAATTACCGCGAATGTTAAAGTAAAAAAAAAAAACCGCTTTCAAATTATACGTGTAAAAACTCATTATTGTTGACCGCGCGGCCACGCCGCGGCGATTAAATCGCGAACGGGAATGGAAACGTGCAGTGTTTTCAAAACTTTTAAATTCATTTTTTTTTTTCTTGGGCAATTTTTTCATCCGAACGCTTCTGAACGACCTTAGCTCCGCATTCGTCGATATTTAATATAAACAACACAGCGCACTGCGTATGATCTGACACGGCCAGTAGAATGATTATTGGTAGGGCCCGGATGTTGTTGCATTCGCAAACTTTTCTCGCCGAGTTAGTATTGAACGCATCACGTGCAGTTACGAATTAAAATCTATACGTTTAAAGCACAATTTTATATCCGAATTTTATTCAATTTAATTGCATTTTTGTTGATATTACCGACTGTTGGTACAATTTTAACTTTTTTCAAATTCGTTCACGTAGTTTTCTATATTATATTCAATATTATTTAAACGACTTATTGACATTATACTGAGTGTATAGTCAAAACGAT